CACACACACACACACACACACACACACACACACACACAAACTGCTCGCCCTTTTAAAATCCGCTGGTAAATCTCTGGTTATAGATGTTGGCTCCGTCAGATACCGTTATTGTACAAAGCCTGTGTGTGTTCGTATCCATGTTTGCAGGTGCACCCCCTGAATATAACAATTTTAAGGCAGCTGCCTTCCCACTCCACACATGCACAGAGACAGAGCTCGTCCTCTCCCCGATACACACTCTGTTCTCTAGCGTATGATGCTGCAGCTTTCACTGGCTTTTAATCCTTTTTTTCCCCTCTCTTTCTGACTCGTGCTAAACGTGCAAGTGTGCAAGTGTGTGTGCCCCCGCACACTCCTCTTAAGGCACCATTAGGAGGGAATGTGTCCCAGGACTGCATCTGAGGTTTAAACCTGAATTGACCTCTAATGCGTTATAAAATCATCTCTCGCAGGTGAGCAAACACCCACTCCTGCATTAGGCCGAATTAACGACAAGAGGTACCCTTGAGTCCTCTTCGCACTTGTTGTAATCACCAGCTGAACAGCACCCACATTATGAATCTCTCTGCTCACGCTTCTCCGTATCACTGTGACAAGCAAAATAATCAAATTTGGTCGAATCAGTGATATGAATATCAGTCATTCTTTTGTATAAATAGGGGTTATATTCACCAGGGTTTAAAAAGAAGGGTTGTGGTGTCTAAAAGCACAAAATCCCTTTGTTTTGGTCAAACCACATAGTCCAGGCTCAATGCTTACAAACTGTACCTGTCAGATTGACTGATCTCAAATGTGTTCCAAAGATGTATCTTTGGAACGGAGAGAATGATGGGGTAATATGTCAGGATGACAGTTTGGGGTTAGTTTTACCTGCCTGTCCCTCCCAAGTGTGCTGTCTTTAACTACTATGTCTCTCTTTCTATCCGTCCCTGTCTCTGTAACCTCAGCCCTCATCCTGTCTCCGCTGACAAATCACCAAAAGAGACATAATATTCTCGAAGGTAAATGATTTGAGGGTTATGGGCAGGATCCAGGTGAGGGCCAGGTCACCTGCTCACTCTGCAGATTAATACAACATGCTCATGGGAGTCCCCATTAAACTGGCAGCAGTGCCTCCATTCCGATCGCCTTTTCTTTACAGATAAAGGCCGTACCACTCAACTTTTCTGCATTTTCTGGTAAATATCTTCGACAAACGCTACAGTAAAAGAAAATAGTTCTGGAGGCCGCAGAACCCTTTAAGAATGCATGAAAT